CTTATTTGTAATCCAAAATGCTGGGCTATATCTCTAAATGAATCTTGTAGAATCATTAAATCAATCTTTTGGCAATAAACCAAGTATTTGAAATCACCTTTTGTGGTCACCAACAGGGATTATAAGGATTGGGTTTTGATTATCTTAATATCCTGCTCAGTAACAACGCCAACGTGACTACTTAAGTTTTTTACAATCTAAATTCTTATTTACTATTTCATCGAATATGACATGCCTCTGATTCCTGTCCAAAGGGCTATTGCTGATGCTATATCCAAGGAAAGTTCTCTGGCTGAAAGTCATATTGATTGATTTGTAGGAGACTGACCCATGAACACAGAGTACCAGCACACTGTCTGGGTTCATCAAGTTTTCTCTGCTTAATGCTACTGTCCCTGAGCACATCCATTCAGACCATATGGTTCTTATTCAGTCTTTGAATGGCTTATTCAGGCAAAAATCCAATGGCTGTAATAGCGATGTCAGACCCCCCCAGGACTCACACACAGATCAGTTTTTAATTTTTTGGCCATATTTCTTACTCCATCTGCTAAATGTGCATGGAGCAGTTCCATACTTACATGGAACATTTGTGGAACTGCGCCCCGGGCAGGGATCCCATATCTTTTGCAGCCAGAATTTGACGAGATCATCATGGATCCAATCCTCTGAATATGTCTATGCTATCACTCAAGCAATATTTCTATCCCCTCTCCCTTTTTAAAAAAAGATTTATTCAGAAAACTCTGAGCAGCTTTGGTTTTATTCTGCTGGCTAGACAGGGTGTATGTTTTTTCTTGTTTCTTTTGATGAGAGTAGTTTTGAAATTAAAAGTTAAGATGAGAGATTGTGAATATTCCATTCATGTCCTGAGACACACAAACTCTTATACTCTCTGATGATAATTGCTACATCAGATAGTCTGGCAATGAATTATCTGCCTGTTGTCATCTAATATAAATATTGGGAAAAATAATAAAAAGTAATAATGATACTCTAGTAACGTACAGTAGCTTCCCTCTTAAGGAAGCCCACAAAAAGCTCTATGGTCTCTATCCTCACTATATTTCTGAGAAATATGTAGAAATCAGTTTTATCTTATTTTAGAATTTAAAAATTCCATTATTTTACCAATATTCACACAATAATATATTTTTATCTCAGTGTTCTGCCAATGTTGCTTTCTTATTGTGATTCCTGAGCTAAGAAATGTTACAAGTACATAAATGAAAAAATCCTTTTATCATTAAAATACATTTTGGGGGCCTGGGATTTAGCTCAGTGGTTCCAGTGCTTGACTTGCAAGCACAAGGTCCTGAGTTTGATTGCCGGTACCAAAACAACAACAACAAAAAAACATTTTTAGCACCTATCTCAGACTCAGTGACCTACATTTTTATTGTGACTGAAAAACTGCTTTTTCCTTTGAAAATTTTCTCATTGTAAGATAAGATAAATAAGAGTCAGTATAAAGGGGCAAAGATTTCATCTCTGGAATCAGTCAGACCTGGGATGAAATTTTAGCTCTACTATTAAATTGCTCTGTAATCTTTGGCTCCTAAATCATACTTTTCTCATCTGTAAAACAGAGTTTAAACAATACCCAACTCAGAGGATTTTTGTTAACATCAAACAGAAGAATGATTGTAAAGTACCTAGAAATATATGCCTAGTATAGCATCAGTGCTTTTTAAATATTCATTAAAATTACCAAGCTAGGCATGGTGGTGCAAGCCTGTAATCCCAGCATTCGGAAGGCTGAGGCAGGAGGATCACTGTGAGTTCGAGATCAGCCTGGGCTACATAATGAGTGCCAGGTCAGTCTCAACTACATAGAGAGACCCTGTCTCAAAAAACCAAAAGAAAAAAATAAAAAATAAAGTTACCATCATTGTTATTGGGAATGTCAACTATTTTTAGATGGCAAATTAACGGACTAACAAAGGTTGATAAAATTAATTGAAAATTTCTCTTTATTTTTATTTTGGGGGGTACCAGGGATTGAAATCCAGACCTTACACTTGCAAGGCAGGCAGCGGCACCACTGAGCTAAATCCTGGCCTGCCTCCTTTAATTTTGTTGGTAGCACTTTGCATGAATATTTTGCTTCAAGTCTATATTCTAAGCTCTGATTTAATTTCCAAAGAGATAGAGCTCTAAATGTAAAGTCTACATTTAACAACAGTAAACATGCTTCTCTCTTGAGGAAAAATAACAGAAACCATCAATGATAAAAATTTATACAGGAAATAATATAGTAAATATATCTAATAAAAATAAATTGAGGGGCTGGGGATTTAGCTCAGCGATTCCGTGGCTGCCTTGCAAGCTCAAGGACCTGAGTTCAATCCCCAGTACCAAAAATAAATAAATAAATAAATAAATAAATAAATAAATAAATAAATAAATAAATAAATTGAGAAGTGTTCATCTTATGTATTTAGTTATTTTTTCTGTTCTTTTTTAAAAATTTTAGATTAGTTTAGTTCTCTGAGGCTTCATAAATTCAGTTTTTGTGGATGCTTTGAGGGATATTTTCCCTTTATTTGCTTCCATTATAGTAATCTGCATTTATTTATTTATACTTAAGTTCATTCATTTTAAGACTTATTAGTGCCATTCTAAAACTATCTAACTCCCATGTTTCTGGAAGTATGACCAAGATTTGTTTTGTAGATTAATTTAAATGGTAATAGCCAATGTATTGATCTGATGGTAGTATACTCTAACGTTGTGAAAAAAAAAAAGATCATTTGACACAAATCTGTGCTACATTTACAAGGTCCTTAAGTAGTTTTTCATACAGTCTAGGCTGTTCTTTGGAGGTATGTCAGGAGCTAGCAATAGTCCAAAGTCAGGGTAAAGAGGAAGCAAGGGGCTCTATAAGTCACACTGTTACTATTTTTTTTAATTAATATGTTTAAATTCTGTAGATTTCATTTGAAGAAAGGATTTAGGGACCCAATAGTTGACAATCATTAACCAACATTAAGAATGTGAGTTTTTAGAAATCAAATACATATTGTCCCCATTTTAATTGCTTTCTTATGTGTGTTTCTAATTGTGCTTAGGAAAAATTGTATTTCTTCTCTTTTTTGCTTATCTAAATTTAAGTTCAATACCTTTAGTTTTAGTATGATTTGAGAGTATTTTCTAAGTATCCCTCAAAATTGTAATTTCTAAGAAATATGTCACTTCTATCCTATGTGCATATAGCTATAAAATATGACATCTGGGCCCTTCTATTTAGCAGAAATGATGAGAATTTAAATATGTTTTACAATTTAAATGGTAAGGTTGAGCCATGTGTTCATGATTATATCTTATAAAATGCTTCTAGGAGAGCTCTGAGGTGTTTAAAAGGAATTTGTTATGCTTTTGTTTAAAAAACAAAGTTTTTCATAAAAAGCCATCAGGCCTAGTGAGAGTTTTATTCTAGAGAAAGAGAAACTGGGGCCTAAACACTAGATCAAAGTATAAAACATCGATGACAAATGCAGATTCTCACTGTGATTTTGCCTCCTTACAGCTGTGTATTTCTTCTAAGTACAGACTGATATAAACTGCTAGTTATTGTTGACATAAATTGTTGGTTCCAAAATAAACCTAGACTGTTGTTTCAAGAATGTGGTTCCTAATATTCGTTAATAGTTCAGTGAAAAAAAGAAGGAATTTTGGTAGTGCATGAAGATCTTTGTATTTTTATTGGCTACTTACAAAATCTGAAAAAAAAATCCTCAATCCTTTTAAAATGACCCTAGCAATTCATATATTTAGCACAATTTACCAACATTCCCAAACCCAGCATGGAAAAGCCATCAACATGGCACTAGGTCATAGGTCCTGAATGAAGCCATCAACAAGGATTAATAAACTGTGACAGCTGCCCAAAAGCTTTCATTCTTTTTATTTAAACATCCCACTGCAAACTGAGGTTCATTATAATCTTTGTTGAAAGTAGCTCAGCTAACATGAAAGAAGTCAGAACTGAGAACAGATGACAAGTAGTAGTACTTTAAATCCAGTGCATGACAGTAAATCCTAGAATTTATAAATGTAACAATTCCTAGAGAATTACAGAAGTAGCATACAACTGTGTTTATCTGTTTAAACAATTATTAATATTTTTGAAAACTAGAGCAAAGAAACTAAAATTATTTAGTTCTAATTTCTATGTTCAATAAACTATATTATTTAAACTACTATTAGTCCTTTCTCTTATACGGCAATTTAAAAGTGACTTTAGTTAGATTATAGTCCATTTTGGGGTCACATAATCTTTTCTTTTTTTTCTCTCTCATTGAGTTTATTGGTACTTTTTAAGTATACAGTACAGTTACACTTAACATTGGGATCTTGTACCTTTACATGACAGATCTTGGTTTTCTCATTTTTTTCCCTTATCCCTGCCCTCCCTTCCCCCCCCACATCCCCTATTTACAAAGACTTTGTTTCTGTTTTTTCCTTTTCTCATATTTTTCCTTTTCCCTTATTTCCTTTCCCCTTCCCTTTCTACTTTCCCTACACCTTTAGCCCTTTTCTTCCTATTTCACACTGTCAGTTATACAATTTGGATCTTATTTACACTTTTAGTTTTTCACACCAGAGAAACTATTTGGTATATATACATGTATCTTATTTATTTCACTCACATAATCTTTTCTAGGAATCATTTACCAGAAAAAAAACTAGGTTATATTATATGATTTAAAAGACTATAATATATGACTATAAAATTATTGGTGAGGCTTTTTTTGGTACAAATATAGATATTCATACCAACAGAAAGGAGAAAGTGACCTGGAAAATAGTTACTCACTGTAATTTATTAATAGAGTATATTTGCAGATATAAAGATACGACAATAAACCATCAGGGTAGGAATTTATTATTTTAAAGTACATTTTAAATCAATACACAAGATTTCCTACTCGTTGAATATCAGCAAATTTATCAGTTTAGCCTACATGTCAAACAGCTAGTAAATCACTTGAGCTTACCCCCTTTTCAATATTCCCAGTTTGACATAGTGTTCCCTCAGCTGCTGGAATACTGTTGGTGACACAGCGGTTGCTTTTGCTGAGGCACCACAGCTCTCTACACACTTCCTAGGAAAGAAGGCAAAAGCAAGTTGATCAGGAATAGAGACTAACACCATGTCCAGTTCTTCCAAAAAATACACTTATAGTCATTCAGCTTTACTTATAAAGAGACCCCAGGGCTCTTGCTGCTGTTGGAGCATCGGAGATGAGTATTTTGAAGGAGGTTCGTATAGAATTAAGGTTACTCATTTTACAAAATTATTTAAACATTTAGTAGTTAAACTATGTTTTAGTTTTTTAAATTGATTAGGATATTTTTTACAATGGTTTACAGCAATTTCATTAGTATGAGTAGGAAAAAGAATAACTTGGAGAGTGGAAATGCATGTTTATTACAATCTAGAATATACAGTAGCACAAACTTACCAATAATTAATAGTGTTGCTAAGCAAACTAGGCAACTAGGACTTCTTAGACCTACTACAGTATTCAAATAAAGATAATTTTAATATAGAAGATCTATCTATTTATCTAAAGAAGGACAGAATGAGAGAGAGATCATGAGAATGAATAGCACATTAATATATGAATTTGAATAAATATGAAGTATATGTCTACAATTAAAATATGATCATCTGGAGTACAGAGATAAATTTATATATATTTACTCCATTTGCATTTATTCCCCAACTGTTATTTTAACTCTCAAAACACAATTATAAGAACTCATGACACATGAATACAACTCAGAAATAAAGCAGTAAAATATTGAAGTCACTTAAGTTAACTGATCCTACAAGTGGTAATGCACTGCATGATATTAAATTTGAAGATATCTGTTTGGATCCCTTTTAGGGTGCCCCTTATCAGGTTGAAAAGAAGACATATAATGACTATCAGGCTTTAAAATGCTTTTTAAATTTTTTTAACTCCAGGGGCCAGGGATTTAGTTCAGTGGTTCTGCCGCCAGCCTTGCAAGTACAAGGACCCGAGTTTGATTCTCAGCACAAAAATAAAAATACAATTAATTAATTAATTAAATTAAACTCCATTTGGATAACTAGTAAGCAAGAAAAGAGCAAGACAGAAAAATAAGACCATGTATTGCGAATCATAATATAAACATAAAATTTTCCTTTTATAATACAATTTATTGCAAAATCTATTTTTCTTTCCAAGATTTTTAATATACTACTTTAGCTTTCTATTTCTATGGGATATTATTTTTATTTTATTCTAAATATATTCTTTTAGTTTACTATTTTACAAACACTAGGAGTAAGGGCTTCAAACTACTATTACATAAGTAAAGTCTGCCCAACTTCAAAGAACAGTGAGTTCACAAAACAGAAGCATTAGGCCAGGGGTTTAGCTCAGTGGCACAGCACCTTCCTAGCAAGGGCAAGGTCCTAAGTTCGATCCCTGGTACCAAACAAACAAACAAGAAAAACAGACAAGCATTAATAGAACAGTGTATATAAAGATTGTGAATTTTTAAATCCCTGAATAATACTTCTGATATCTTTTTGCCTTTATTAGGCTTAAATCTTCCTTCAGACAAATGTAAAAGAAGACTGTTTACCTCAGATGAAATAATGCAATGATGATTCTATAATTTAAGAGGAAAGAGTCACAACTTCAGGAAAATATACAGTTTAGATAAATTACGAAACTATTTCTCAAAGATCCTTGAAAAATATCTACTCACACTTAACTTTTTCCAAACCTTAATTCAAGATTCATAATACACCCTCTTAATGTTCAGAGAATGATGTATTTTGAAAGATAAATTTCCTCATCTAACAAGAATGTGTTACCTTAGTGAGATCCTAGGAGTTCATACTTTGGTAGGGCATTAACTTCTCACAGATCATTATAAGAAAATATGGAACTGAAAATCTATGTTGGGAAACACACCCAAGATGTTAACTAGTCAAGAAAACGCCTCTGAAGAGTTGTTTCAAATAGCTCTCACAATTGCAATTTCAATTTGAGTAAGAAAGATTTTAATATCCAATTTAAAAAGACTTTAAAAAGATACTAGAAAGATAAAAAGCAAGAAAAACATTCATTTCAAACCAAATAAGCAAGAAGTATGTACCCTGAGGTTACTTAAGAACAATTTCATACTTTAAAAATACCTATCTTTCTCAAAACTACCACAATCTAGAACATGAATAATATATTACATAGATGGATCAGTCTCATTCACACATGAATATTAGTTATTGAATAAACACGAGTCTCAACCTCTAATAAAGTTAAATGCATGCCAAAATTTTTTTGTCTCTGGGAAATTTGTATAGTTTCCATCATAGCAGGCAGAAGAATGACTCAGATCAAGAAATCAACCAATAACAAAGTCTAGTGAGTTTGCCAAGAAAGGAATCCTTCTCCATTGTTGTTAGGAATGTAAACTAGTACAACCATTATGGAAATCAGTATGGAGATTCCTCAAAAAGCTAAAAGTAGAAATTCCCACTTGAACAAAGGCATCTTCATAAAAGAGTTAAAGATATCATACCATAGGGGTATATGCATACAGATGTTTATAGCAGCATAATTCATAATAGCTAAATCTTGGAAACATATTATATGTCCATCAATAGATGAATGAATAAAAAACTGCAGTATCCACAAAGGAGTTCTACTCTGCCATAAAAAGGATGCACCTTGAGACTATGTTAAGTGAAGTAACTCAGATGCACAAGCCTGAATATCACATGGTTTCTCTTATATGAAAAATTCAATACACACACACACGCACGCACGCACGCATGCACGCACGCACATATATGACAGATAACAGGAAAAAAGGCATTCTAACCCAGTGAAGACAATGTATATGAAAGTGTAGCTTGACTTAGCAAAATTGTCTTACATTTTTTATATGTTCTTTGGCCTATTAGTCTATGTTTCAATTTGTATACAGTATATTAAAATTTTATAAGGTCTTATAAGATAAATAATGAATCTGATGCTGGATATATAAAAGAGGGGTAGAGAGAGGAGGGAAAAAAGAAGGGAATTGAGATGTGTTATGTATATGTACCAATCCTCTACAGTGCATATAATAATTATGTACTGTAAACATGTACTAATAAAAGTTTTTTAAAATTTTTTAACTTCACAACATGAAGTGATCGGGTAAGGTTAGTGACAGGGGATGATGACTTTTTGATTAACCATGAGTTTAGCTAAGAAAAACAGTTTCTTTCACATATTTGTGACTCCTGATATAAGATTTGCTAAGATTTCTATGAACTATGAATTTCTATGACTTCTATGAACTAATAAATACATGACTGTCTGTGTGTTAGGCTTCCCTCTATAATCCTAACTTTCATTTTGGGAAAACAATCTAGAGCAAATTAGAATTTAAGAAAGGGGAGAGAAGTTAACAACCCTAATGAGGGACATTTCTGCTACAAGAGAGTGAAAATGTGAAATGGAATCTTTATTTTTCATGGAATCAACTTCTAAACAAATAGGTGAATTGCCAAGCAATGCAAAAGTGACAGTAATTTTTGTCATTCATTTAAGTATAGTTATTGAGAATCTACTCTGCAATAGGCATTATGTTAATGTTATAAAAAAAATACCACTTAGAATTCATGAAAACTAGGACAAAGGTAATAAATAGTCACATATGCAGCAATGGATTGGTACTACTCTATGATAAAGTTTTTCATTTCTATGACAAAATTAGAACAATGATCAATATGTCAGTATTTTTCATGAAACTAATTTTAAATTTTTTAGTGGGCTATAATTATTTTGTTGTTGCTTGTCCTTTTGGTACAGGGTCTTGCCTTGTAGTTCAGGCTGGCCTTGAATTCACTATGTATCTCAGACTCAACTCGAACTCATGTCAATCCTCCTGCCTCAGCCTCCAGAGTGCTGGGATTACAAGCCTGTAATCCCATGCCCAGCTATAATTATTTTTTAAGTTTTAATTCTCTTTTGATATTAAAATAGACTGAAGAGTCTAAGGGCAGGGTCTGTGTGTTTGTGACAGCCTTTACAATATGTTCCTTTTTGGCAAAATTAAAAGTTTGCATTCTTACTTGGTCTGCCAATTTTTGAATATAAATTTTCTATGCCTACAAAAGTCTAAAAGAATATAAACAACCCACTGCCCAAGACTTGTTAGCAAATGTTAATTTAAATGCATCTGTGTGTTTACTGTTGTGTCTTTAATGAAAACTGCTGCTTCTATCTAGTAAATTCTGAATTTCAATTTTTTTGTTGTTTTAACATGTCTCCAATAGTTATAGCAAGAGATTATTTCACTCATCTTTCTGAAAACATTTATTTACTCTTATTTTGAAAAATATTTTAACTTTGCTAGTCTAACTGCTGACTTTTGTAATAGTTTTTTTAGTTGCTTTCAAAAGTTTCAAAAATTTCTTTAGTGCTGTTTAATTACTGTATCTGTTCTTTTCTTCATGTTCTCGGAACACGTGCTCTGAAGTTTTTGTTTTGTTTTGTTTCTTTCTTTGATTCAGATTTTTTTCAGTATGCCTTTTGCTTATTCTTCCTATTCTTCTATCCTGGAACTCCTCATCCTCATGACCTTCTTTCAAACATTATTCCTCTTAACTTACCATTCACGTTTTTCATAGTTATTCTATTGGGGCATTAATTTTCAACCTCATTGTGGGGTTATTTGCTTATGTTGTTTATTATTTTGTATGAAAGCTTTTCTTCTCCAAAGATTTTTTTCTTTTAATGTCTTGTGCTTCCTGAGTTGAAGAAATATAGTCCACTGTATTTGCTTATATCATACATCCCAGGATTATCACTGAACCTGTTTTCATGTTCATTTAGTTGGTTAGCAGCAGTTAGACTGCATAAAGTTTTGCTTTTCTCTTATTGAAGCACAAGCCTAGCGCTTCAATTTCTTAAGGGAGCCATTTTCCCCCACTAAAACATTTGCAGTTAAATCTGTTCTGGCATTTGATTCCAGCATTCCAATCAGCTAATTTTTTTTCAGCTTTAAACTGTGGTTTATGATGCTTTCTTCTTAGGAATAAGGTCTTTGAGGGCATTTTTCTCCATTAGAT